TCATCAACTATCTCAAATGAGAAACAAAACAGAAATAAATAGCAGAATACAAACCCCAAAGAGAAGGGTTTGGGCCAAACCCACTAAACAAGCCCAATAACGAAATCATAAACAATAGTCCAAATAAAATATAACTAATAATCCAAATAGAAAATAAATAATAAATGGATGTCCGCATCACATATCCTATTATTTCAACCCCTTCATAGTCACCGGTCATTCTAACCTAAATTTTGTCAAAAGCTCCAAACATTAAAAAGACCAATCGTTGATAAATAATTTTGTTTCGGGGTCCATTGCATTCTCTTCAAGTTAACAATGAGAATTCAGATCGGTCAATGCCATTGCCTCCACTGCAAATTGCTGCTGAGCAAAGCTGACCATAGTAATTGACAACATAATGCATCACCTTTCCGAGAACCCATCAATCGTCTGCTTTCTGTGGAACCATGCCTAATCGTGGGGCTCCACGTAGGCCTTTCTCTTCACATCCATTGCAGCCTATTTGGTTGCCTCCGTGTTCCTCCACCTGCCTTTACTATTGATTGGCTCTCCATCTAATTTTTTCAAGTACTTCTCGATCTAAGGTTGATTTGCAAGTTTTAAGAAATCTTTATGTTACAGAGATTCTAGATTGGTGTCTTTAATTAAAAGTTATGTCATGTCTCTTAAATTAAGGCATTGGTACTGGCTTTCTTGGTATTTTGAAAGAGCACAATTCAAAACACATGGCTATATGTACAGGTCTACTATTCAGGGCTTAAATTTTGCAATGATCCCAGTTAATTAATATAACCACAGCTGTGTTATTATTTCTCAAAGCAGTCACTTTATTAACTAGCAGTCCCTGAGGAAAGACATTTGTTTGGTGCATTATATTTTGTGGGGATGCAATTCCAAACATTTGATCTTCACTGTTGTCTTCTTGTTCTTTTGTGTTATATTGGATGGGGAAAGACATTTATTGCTTGATTTAGTGGAATGCCTCTCTGTACAATTGACATTTCGGCAATAGATTATTACTTGCATCTTTTTCTCTACTTCTCACTTCACCTCTCAATTTCACTACTCTTTCACTCCTTCCTCATTGTCGTTCTTTCTTCACGTGTTTGTATGTGTGGGAGTGATGTTGTTTTGGATTTTTTGGAAGGACAGGTTATTTTGGAAGGATGGAGGGACCTGGAACTTCGATTATGTGGGATGAAAAGTGGGTATGTGATGGGGGGAAGAGAGAGAGTGTGATGGATGTAATGTGGTGGAGAGACTGAGAAACTTATATGTATAGATTGTTGCTATGACATTGCCAAATCGAAAGAAGCGATGTCTCTTCATCTAGAAATAATAGACAGTAAAAAGAGATACCCTTGGTAGGAAGCCTCCATTTTCATAAGGAATGATGCACAAGATGGGGAAGTTTACAATTTGTTCTTGTAGTAAATGATGTTTGTCTGATTTATATGCATGCCACCTTTTGGAATGAAAAAGTTGGTGAAACTAATTATCTCCATTCTTAATCCATAAAGAAAAATTTAGTGAGTTGGGGTTCTTAATGCTTATCCTGCTGTTAAATTTATTTGATACTGTTGCTGAAATAATGAAGGTTATTAGGTTATGCACGTTTACCAAAATGTCATGCTAACCACCATTTTTTTAAGTCAACTCTTTTGTGTCTTTTGCAGATGAAATTGCAGGCCATGGCCATTCTTTGAAGACGGAGAGGCTTCTTGCTCTATAACGAGAGGGATGAATGATAACTGTGAAGCAGTGATGTAAGACTACATCGATTTGATCTATTGGGAATGTATTTGTACCATTTTATCACATTTACCTGTAACTGCAGTTTCTCTGATGCTGTTTTTCGTCTGATATTTTAAATTAGCAGCGATTTTGACCTTATTATCGTTTGAAATATACTTCTTTTGTTAATGGTGTTTAAATATTCCAACATTGTTTTCTTAATGTTATTTAATTATTATTTGCAAGAACTTTAGGCTTGTGGATATTATTGAGTTGACAGATAAAAGTAAATTAACGCAAGGAGCTGTTGGCATGACCCAAGGGACTGTGACAACAACCCCCCTTTATTGACGAACTTGGACAGCACAATCAATTTGGTCGGATGATTTTGCCTGTCTATAAATGCCCAGTTAGTGATTTCATCTCACAAAACTTGCATAAATTACAATCAGATATAATCATTACTTTTTTTTCATTTTTTTTTTTTTTTAACAAGATGTCCCAGCTTACGCCAGATTATATCCTCGTCCCTGAACTTCCGATCCTTCAGCAGTTCAGGGAGGTAAATTGCAGGATGTGCCCAACAGATATAATCATTACTACATGTACATAATGGTGCACGAACAAAAGATGTGATGAGATATAATTGTGTTAAAATTTCTTCAACCAACTAAATACAAAGCAAAGAGTAATATCTGAGTAAAATCAGACTAATAGAGAAATTATACATAAGTAGAAAGCAAATTTGTTCAAATGGTACCACATATATAGAAGTTTGAAAGAAGAATGATAAAACATTTCTAATTTCCAAAGAATGATCTCACTTGATTTGCATACTGAATCCCTTCATTAATGCCAAAGTTTCAAGCAAAACCCTGCTGGCACTGCGGAACATCTCTTGTTTGAAATAACATCAGTAAAGGTGTCGACAAGTTGTCCAGCAAGAGAAGCTGGATCTTCAATGAATGTATCAACGAATACTTTCACGACCCTCACCTCTTGCGGTGTTGCTGTCAAGCTGTACCAAGTCAAAAACTTCTGCCTAAACGTTGTTTCTATATGACCATTACATTCCAACCATCGGATTACTTTGATGTAATACTCGAAATTCTTGTCTCCAATTCCACTACAATCTTCAACTCTTTCTCCAGTTATATTCTTTGAGGGTTCTTTCTCCTTTGCAGATACACCCCTCCCGCCATGTTTATGTCTGTTGTTCCTTCCATTCCCATCCTTTACATTCTCCAACTTGCATGGGGTGATAGGCAAGCCATTTTCTGAACTATCTATGTATGGAACACATTCCAAGGCAGCACGACTAGGGGTATTTGACAGGTTACCAGTGCTTGTTCCCTCGACCATCTGGCCTTCTGAAGTGTCTTTGGTTTTTAGATTTACGGCATCGTTTTGTTTTTGTTCCTCGTCCAATAAAGATACTTCATCTCTAGGAATCTCTTTTTGTCTCTTTATGGTGGCATCAAGAAAATTTGAAGAAGAAGATTTATCGGCATTTCTACAAAATGCGCGATACTTTTCACCTCCGTTCTCATATCCGTTGCTGCATGGCATGACATTGTTGGTTTCATCGTCTACCGAAGAAGGATTAGAAAGGGTGCTACAGTAGGTGGCCTGACTTCGACTTTGCTCTACGTCCACGTTCGTAGAATTTATATTTGCTACTTCACTTTGAGAATTATGCATTTCCGTCTCTCGATTGTTGTCATCTTCAAATCTGACAAGTTTTGCAGCAAGCATAGTGCTATCTAGACAAAATTAAACCCACAAATTAGCATTATGCTTATCACTTGCCTCAAAATGAAACCAGCATTTAAACAAATTCAAAATACGGTTATTAACTGGTCGAAAATGGGGAGAGAGATGTATCAGAAGGTATATCGGACACCCTGTTGGAAAGCGTTGAGTCGAGAGAGTTCACTGCCGAAGCACATAATCTCTGAACTTCTGGT